AAGAGAAGACTGAGATCAAATGATGGCAACCCTTATGTTTCTATCACTAACTGGCCACCATGCTAATCCTGCAACCTTCCAGATATGCATCCACATGCTTGGTATCTAGTGCCCTTTGCCTGGAAAACTCCCCACCTGTGAGCTCACTTCCACATCACCTTCAATTCATCACTCAAATGCTTCTCACGGAGGCCTTTCAGACCACTTTTATAATATTAGAACAACAGTTTCAAGTATTTTAAAGCACTGTTTGAAAACTTCCTTAAAGAGGTTAAATTACACAAACACAGAGAATCCAAAAGACTGCTATGAACATCTTTGGGTCAATAAATTGGAAAATGTGCATGAAATGGACAAATTAGACAAACTCCTAAGGCTGAGTCAGAAAAAAATAGAAAATGTGAATATTAAATTACATGTAAGGAAATTACAAAGGTAATCAAAAGTCTCCCCCCCCCAAAAAAAAAAAAAAAACAACCTAGGAATCATTTAGTTTCACTTAGGATTTCTTCAAAACTTTCAGAGAAATGGGCCTCCTGGTGGTGCAGCGGGTTGGCACCACACTGTGAAGCTGTCTGCAGCCTCTGCAGTGTGGGTTCGATTCCAGCCATCCAGGGAGAAACCCACATGGCACAGCAGACCTCTTCTGGCTTGCCAGCTGCTGCCCTCAGCAGTGTACTTCAGTCAGTCTGCATGATCTGTTCCCCGCTCTGTCTCTGGTGAATCCTCTCACCCCCTCACACATCTGACCTGTACTCCAGTTCTTGTATGCATAAATAAATAAATCTCTAAAAAAATTTTTTTCAGAGAAACTGATACCTACCCTTCCCAAATTCTTTCAATTATTTAAGAGTGGACACTTCCAAACACTTTTTATGAGGTCAGCATTACCCTGATACCAAAAGCAGAGAAGGATAGCACAAAAAAAGAAAACTACAGACCAATACCTGATGAATATAGCTGCAAAACCTTCAGTAAATATCTTAGCAAACCAAATGTATCAATACATTAAAAGGACCAGACCAAATAGGATTTATTCCAGAGATGCAAGGATAGTCCAACATATACAAATCAATTAATGTAATTTATCACAACAACAAATGGAAAGGATCTGGACAGAGGTGAAAGGGATATCCCCACTCAGGAGGAAGACAACAGGATCATGTTTATGGAGAACTTAGAGTCTCATACATTGGAAAAGATTCTTTAGGAGCTGTTCCTTCAATTCCTGTCATTGATGAATCTTCCAAGTATACTTTTTTGTTGGTGTTGTTCTCAGAGCTTAAGTTCTTACTCTTCTGAACTAGCTAACCAAAGTTCTGAGAGCTACAGCTCTGGAACACATGTAATCCAGCACTGCATAAGATGTATGCCTCTCATCATAAGATGCCAGCAGCGAGTTCTCCCTGGTGGCCCGCAGGTTAATATCTCAGTGCTATCAAGCTATCACTAGCCACTGCATCCTGAGTTCGATCCCCAGCCAGGGGTCTAACCCACATGGCACAGCAGATTTCTCCTGTCTCGCCCGTTGCTCTGCTCAACAGTGTATTTCAGTGGATCTCCTGTTCTGCTCCCCACTCTGTCTCTGGTAAATCCTCTCACCCCCGGTACCTCTGGCTTACACCCCAGTTCTTCCATGCATAAATAAATAAGAATAAATCATTAAAGAAATAGATGCCAGTAGCACTTAAAACATCATATCTGTGTCTTCCTCATTAAACTGTGTTCCAGATCAAGAGGCTGGACCCAGTTCTCATGAATGGACTCACCAGCAGCAGGGTATGAATATAATTGGGGGACAGAAGCAGGCAGTCAGGCTAGCCAGAACTGTCTATAATTGAGCTGACATTTACCTCTTTGATGATTCCCTTGTCTGCAGTTGATGTTCATGTTGGAAAACAAGAAAAAGTAATCACTTTTCATACTTTTGAAAAACAAGAATCATGTTTTAGTTACCCACAAATCCATACTTCTGCCACAGGGAGATCTTGCTGTTGTAATGGAAAATGGCAGAGTAGCATAAATGGAAACTTACTGGAAATGCTGACTAAAAACAAAAACCTTATGAATTCATTTCAGCCCTTCAGTGAACAAGATAAAGGTGAGAAACAATGAAAAATAAACCAAAGAGAAAGTGAACCTAAAAAAAAAAAGGATAAAAATGATATGATTATAGCAATATATGCAGAGAAAGCATCTGACAAGATCCATCATCCATTTATGATAAAATCCCTCAAAAAATGGGTATAGAAGAAATGTTCCCAACATACATACCTCAACATAATAAAGGTCATAAATGACAAACCACAGCTAACATCATACACAATGTTGAAAAACTAAAAACTTTCCTCTAAGGTCAAGTGTAAGACAAGGATGCTCAGTCTCACCTCTACTATTCAGCATAGTATTGAAAATCCTAGCTAGACCCACTAGGCAAAAAAAAGGGGAAAAAAGGAACCCAATCTGTTACAGAAGAAATGAAGTCATCACCAAAGCTGTAGTGGCAGCGACAAAATCAATATACAAAATTTTGTTGTATTCCTAGAAGAAATAGCAATCAAAATAATCCCATTAGAGATCAGATCACATCAGAAAGAATTAAGAACCTATAGAATAAAATGCAAGAGGTAGAAAACCTGTACAGCAAAAACTAAGGCATTGTTAAAGAAAAAATAGAAAAAGACAGCAGAATGAAATGGAAAGATTTTCCTTGCTCATGGATTGGAAGAATTAACTTGTTAAAATGGCCATCTTGTGTCACTTATTTGTGGAACATAAAGAAACCAAACAAGACCTAAAACGTGCATGGGTTATAAATCAAAACTACATAAATATAACTTCAAAAGAAGAAAAATGAAAACTCCTTTGATGCCATCCCTTCATTCCCAAAGTTTCATTTCAGTTCTAGATCTAAAAGGAAATAAGTATAGTTCATGAATGGTTAAGTTAGAAACATTATCTTAACCCTTACTGGTTTATTTTACCATACAGACTGACAAACTTTCTAACTGTAATCTAATGTACACATAGTCCTTCTGGGTCATGGAAACAAAGTAGAAACAAAGTATGTTACCTACACTGCTGTTTCTGACTTCCTTATTTGATTCCTTTTGCAATTCACTTCCTTATTACACACAGCACATCCACTTTTCTAACATCTGCTGTGAATTAATCTAATTTTAAAGCTGTTTGATAAATAAAAGCATCAATAAACAATAATGTAGATTTGTCCTTTCCTATGGTATATCTTTGTGTTTTCCTATGGAACAATCTTGTTTTTCCTAAGTAAATCTTTGAAAATCAAACAAACAAAAAAATCCCGCAACAAAGAATCACTGATAATAACCAATATCAAAGAGATAGCCATAGGTTTTACAAGTAGTCAAGTGTTTTCACTGGATTTCAGCAGACAAACTCACTTTTCCCTGAGCACGTTAAATCAATGTACAATTCAATGTGACTGCATTTCATATATTAGGTTAAAAGTGTTCTTGTTAAGCAACAGAACAAGTTCTGTGACTTAGTAGGCTTACCCAAAAGCAAACTCAGTAATCCATTATCACATCTCATAAGTATCTTAGCAGATCTTAAGTTTTCAACCACCATAATTGGTCTTTTTCTAAAACAACTAACATGTTCAACACCATATTGTTTTCACCTGCTATGTTAAGGGCATTAGGGTGGCTAATTTTTCCCCTCAATATCTATTCTTTATTAATCTTTTAAGTTTTCAAGATGCTTCTGCATGGTATTCAATACATTGGTCAACATAATACCTACATAAGTAAAAGATTAAAAACCACAAAATGATGAGATAATGGAACATATTCCTGCCAACATGTAACTTATTCTTCAAGGATTAAATGATGTATATTAAGCTATCCTTTAATCTGGCTACCGAGTGAAATCCTTGAACAGTTTACCGATGATGCATGCCGAAGACCTAACTCAATTTCCAAGATGCCTATTTTAGTTCTGTAAAATCTAGGTGATTTAAAGTGACATTCATGCTCTCCCTCACAAAAAAATATCATGTAAATTCAGTAGCCATTTGTTTTTTTTCACTATAATTATGTTAATTATCCCACAGTACTCAAGAGTCTCAGATAAAAAGCATACCATAGTATTTAGTCTTCTGTCATATAAAGGACCACATTCATCACATTATGAAATACAACTTTTTGTTCTTGAAGACTAGATCTAAGCTGTCTAATACTATAGTCAGTAGCTATTTGTGGCTGTTAAGTACTTGTAATGTATCTAGTCCAAATTGAGACATGGCATTAGAGTAAGATACACCTTAGATTTCAAATATTTAATGTGAACTTACATTTAATAAAATGTACATTATCTCACTAGAAATTTTATGTTAAGTGTTGAAATATTTTAATATATTGGATTAAATAAAATTTAATATTATAAATTTCACCTGATTTATTTTTCAATTTCAAACTTTTATCTGTTGCCAATCTCCTAACCTGATGACTTAACCTTCATAGATAAATAAAAACAATCCCACCATATGAATTCTCTGGACTTCCCTGTTTCTTTTTACTTTGACTAATATGATGACAAAAACATTGTCATTTACATATGTGACTCCCATTTTCTTTCTGTTGAAGAAGACTAGTCTAGATCACAATTATGAGTTCAGTTGTATAATATATCAAATATATCCTGCCATCACACTCCTATTTTTAAGATTGTTAGCAGATCATCAAACCTCACAAGCAACAGCAGAAGAATAAACCTAAGTGAATTCAGTTTGTAATGAATAAGTAATAAATCTTACACACATCAATGATATCACAGTTGTTAATTGGGCAACATGGTAACTACCTGCTTACAAATGACTGTCAATACTATTAATTTGACATAACCCAAGTTTATACATTATATTTTTATTACCATACTGAATAATCTTATAAACAGTTTTCTATGTACTGGATGTATTTATTTAAATATAATGGGAATTTTAAGTCAAAACTTTAAATCATTACCTTCCTGTTAAGAGGCAATTCTCCATAGTGTTTCTGTGTGTCTCCAATTAGAAATAATATATTTCTCCAAGTTAGAAGCATACTGTTTCCTGATGAAGATAATAAAGATAACATCAGCCTCCAGGACAAAGATTGAATGGGTTTGCTAGTGGTCCCCTTGCAAGATTAGGAGGACACATGTCCACTGAGTACACAGATTCGACCTGGATCTCACTCAGTATTACAGGACTTGGGGGAACAGATAAGGTCAGGAAGATCATGCTGCCTACTTTTCTTGGAGTAATGAACTACTTAAATCTATCTGGGCTCATCACTTTTTTATTGCATGAATCTATAGAAATGTGGTGAGACATACGAGAAGCTCACTGATACTTAGGAAGAGCTTCACACTCTTTTCATGTTCTTAATCTTTGTAGTAATACCACTATCTATTCCACTGCCCAAGTCAGAAACCAGAGCATATCTTGGCTTCCATCCTTTAATTCAACACCCCACCGCATCTAGTCCGTCATCAGATCCTATTTATTCTACCATCTAAATTTCTCTCAACTTGTCTGCTCCTTTCCCTACTCCCCTTACCTTTACCCAACTTAAGGTAATCCACTCACCTATAGGCATAATTTGCATCACTCCTGCAGTATTGCCCTACTTCATCCATTTTTCACATTGCAGCAGGAATGATGTTTATGTCATCTCTTTGCCTTTGAGATAGTCAAAACTTCTTAGGATGACAATGCATTTCAAGGTCAAGACTTTCATAAGTTTCTGGAAATTTCATTTCTGATTATCTCACCTGGATGGGGGCAGGAAACAGAAAGGGAAAAAAGAGACATTATCCCACTTGAAAATAAAAGAGCAAAGGATAAATTGGTGCTGTGCCAGCAAGGTACAGGGCAGGTTCTCAATGGATCCAGGCAGACAGGAAAAGGAGAGTCCCGAAGCCCTCGGTGGCTTTCTCAAGCTTTTGCACCATTTTACACCATTTGTAGTGAAGCAACCAGGTGCAGAGCAGAAACAGGGAAGCCAGGGGGCTGGAAGGCCTTGTCAGCAGGCCCCTGTCAGCCTCCCAGCTCCCAGCAAATCTTTACTCTCTGGGTTCTCTCTGGTGTTGTTTCATGGCCCTGCCTCTTGTAGCCATTCCACCTTTGTCTTCATTGCACAGTCTCTGAGTAATGCCACCCTTATATCCCTGACCTCCTAAGCACAAGTGTGCTTACTTCTGCATGCCCACACCATATGCCAGCTGTCCATCGTCAGCCACGCATGCCCTGAGCCCGCACTCCCAAATGCCTTCTGCATTCAAGGCCACCAGTGAAAGCCAGAGGTCAAAGGCACAAAAACCTGACCAATCTTCATTTACCCTACAGTTGGGTATAGTGGACCTTAGTGAATGTGTCATAGTTTCTCTCTTACTTATTCATGAAGATCTGAGCCCCACCTAACTTAATGACTTCCTCCCTTAAAACTGGCAACAAAAGGGGGCCCAGCATAAGTCAGATGGGCTAATATAATTTTATTCATTGTCAGTCACATTTATTCTGATGAAGAGAATTTTCAGGTTGCAAACAAATATTGTGCCTTCTTGTGACTAGACATTAGGTGAGTGATTAGTGTCATCTGTCTTTTCTATTTTGGTTCATGATACTCATCACTTTCCCTTCCTCCAACTTCAATTAGTGATTGGTTGTGGCTGAAGAAATTTTGATAGAGATAGCTAAGCAAAATCCAACTCTTTGTAACAAACTGATAGCTTAAGTATATTACTTACATCACTATTACAGGCTGAATGGAAAATACTGGAAAGGAAGTGTATTAGAACTTTCCAGAGAAATAGAAACAATAGGATGGAGGAGTGGGTGTGTATGTGTATAAATATACACATAAGCACATATATAAAGAGATTTATTATAATGAACTGGTTCACATGATAAAGTATGCTGAGAAGTCTCAATCAAGCCCTGTGGTTGGCAAGTTGCATACCCAAGAAAGTCAATGGAATACTTCCAAGTCTTAGCCCAAAGGCCTAAAAATCACAAGAACTGATGACCATAGATGTAGTTGAAGTACAAAGGCTTGAGAACCAGCAGAGCTAAAGGTATAAGTTCTATACTGAAAGCTAGCAGGCTCAAGACTCAGAAGTCAATTTTTCAGTTCCAGTCCAAAAAGAAAAAGACCTACATGTCAGTTTAAACGGTTAGACAAAAGGTGCTCCTTACTCATCTTGTTTGTTCTATTCAGGCCTTAAACTGATTTGAGAAGGTCATATTAGGGAAGGAAATTTGCTTTGCTCTGTCTACAGATTCATCCAGAAATACCCTCACAGTTAGGTAGGCACATAAAATTAATCATTGCAGCAGGCAAGAAGCTGAGAACCAATAATTTCTGTCAAGTAGAAAGTATAAGACTCTCAAATACCTTAGAAATAATCTGATGAAGAATTTTTATTATTGCTGCATAAATGGATATACATATTAGGGTTAAAAAAAACAGTCACACATGGTGCACGGGTGCATTGGTTGAAGGAAACTCTATGGAGACTACACCTGAGGGGGTGGGGAAAGCAAATATTGTTTAAAAATGAACAATGAGAAAACAGAGTAAAAGACAGATATCCTGTTATTTCACTCATCTGTGGAATATAAATAACCAAAGAAACAGACACAGGCAAATTATAGTCAAAACAAAGCAGTGTGGAGTGAAGCCTTAAGAGTCAAGGCCTTGAAAAAGTAAAACATAACTGAAGATAGTTGTTCACTCAGATTACTCTCTTATGCTGCCTCAGTGGAAAATATAGCCAGGTCTGATTTTGAATTCTTGTTCTTCAACATGATGGGTGGATAGATATTTAATCTCAGAGTTTCAGTTCATTTATCTTAAATGAGGGAAAATAGTTCTTACTAGGCTTTTGGAAACACTGAACAAGAGATACTAAAGGCATGTATGTATGTATATATGTTTGTGTATTATGCATGTGTACATGTGTGTATGTGTATATATACCTAAATACAAACACAAAGTTGTCAGAGTGAAAAAAAATGAACAATGATGTAAAAAAATTAAAAATTAATAAAAAATTTTAAAAATAAAAAAATTTAAAAAATAATAAAAAATAAGATCTAAAACAAAAAAAATTCACACAAAATATGCAAGGGAGCACTTCTACACACTAGAAAACTAAGATTCAGTGTTACAATTCATACTTCCTGAAGCTACAAATACAAATATATATATATATATATATATATATATATGACAGAGAATATAATTTATCCAGAGATTCTTGGAAACAACAGGTTATATATGCTGTATTACATTGTTACCTTGAAAGCATCATAAAGTAGACCAACCAAAAACTCTCATTCAACTTGAATAGTCTATATTTACCAAAATATTCTATTTTCTCTCAACTAACAGGCCAAACATTTCATATAATTGTTAAGGCTTTGATATAGCTACAGTGTAGATCTTATTTTCTTCTTCCTTACTCCAAAAAATGCAGTAGGAGACATTATTTTTACCTCATAATATACCAACACCAAACCTTTCATTAACTATGTTTACCTTCTAATGTGCTTATTAGACCTGATGTTTCTTCATCTTGAGTAGAGATAATAAGATACTATATTATAGAAATTAGTCAACTATAGAAAAGTTATAGTACATCTTATCACTTTATTAAAAAGTTCTATTGTAAATCTTACTACTTTATAAAAAGCAAGTGCAAGTGTTTTAACAGAATGATATTGTTTTCTGCTCTACTGCTTTGCATGTAGTAAACACAAGTTAAGAAATTCTATTTCCAGAAGCCTTCTGACATCACTGATTATTGTTTTGCATAAACAAGGAAATACCTATTAGAGCTGTGTATTCAGACCAAATATCAAATAGTTGGAGTGGGAGGTACTAATGGAAACAATGACTTCTTAAAGACCCAGTGTCTTATCTCTGTTCATCATCAAAAAGGAATATCTATATAATATATCTATATATTTCTGGGAGACTAGGAGTTCAACTTAGAAGATCAATAATCCTCAGACTGTTAGGAAGGGTGTGAGGGCACTTTAATGACACTAAAATTCTTTACAATAAATCAAGATATATTAAGTACCACATTCTAGAATTTTCTAGCTCCCTTCTGAAATTTTAAATTACAAGTGAATGACTTCATGAGTATCATGCACATATTAAAGTTTTTAATGTCTGAGTTTAGCAAAACCCAAACACATTTGGTCAAATCTCATTTTACACTATTTCTCAAATTTTATACTTAGGCATATTTCAAAAGCAATTTGTTTCATGTGTTTCTGATTCATTTACATTTTTATCATCAAAATTTATTTATTATAAGAGTTGTTTCTTATGCAAGATACCTAATATGGTAGTGTTTATCACATTTGAAACATTCTTATTTTGAAGAGAGAATGCTAATCTAAAGACTTGTACCTTAAAATTACTAATTTGGTTTGAATAGAATTTACACCTGGAAAAATATTTCCATACTCTCAATTAACTTTTCTTTAACATTTCTCATAATTCTATAATCCCAGATATAGTAATAACTAAATGATATGTATCAGTTATCTAGGCAGCATTTCCAAAAAAGTGTTCTGTGAAACACTAATGTCTCAAGAAATCTCAAAAGGTATCCACAGGCAGAAAGTGGTTAGAAGTGTTAGTCAAGTAAGTGTGGGAAATGCTGAGTTAAATAAATTCTTTACTATAAAAATTTTCACAACTTTTATGTGTCTAATGAGTATAAAAGAGATATAAGTTATGTTTCCCAAACTTACTTAAAATTAAATTCATTTAACAAATTTCTTAGCATAGTATACACAATAAACATTATAATTAATGTTCTATAAATGAACTCCACAATCAGAAAACTTATCTATGTGGGGGCCTCCCCAGTGGTGCAGCTGGTTGAGCGCAGTGCTGTGAAGCTGTCCACAGCCTCTGCAGCGTGTGTTCGATTCCCGGCCAGCGAGGGCAATTCCCACATGGCGCTGCAGACGTCTCCTTGTGGTGCCCGCTGCTTCCCTCAGCAGTGCTTTCAGTCAGTCTGCCTGTTCTACTCCCCGCTCTGTCTCTAGTGAATTCTCTCACCCTCCCACTCCTCTGGCCTGTACCCCAGCTATTGTATAAATAAAAAAGAAAGAAAAAAAAAAGAAAGAAAACTTATCTATGTGATATCAAACACTAAGAAAGTGATAGCATTTATGATCTTCCAGCTGTATTTGTCATTGTCAGTGTGATAATCTAGCAAACATCTTCAGGAAGATGATAACCCAGGTATTTAAAAAAATACTTCTAGTTAAGACAGAATTATTAACAACTCCACTGTAACAAGACAGAGACAATTTTGAAATCTGATTAACATAATGATAAAAATTTGTCAACCATATTGCAAGGTCTATCTATTCACAAAAGTTTTCTAGACAAAGGTTTTTGAAGAAAACTGACAGTTACAGAATTCTTAGTGAATTAAAATGTAATATGTAGTAATTTCTTGATTACAACTGACAAATTTTAATTCTTAATTGGCTTCTCCATACTGTTGAGCACATCTCAGAATCAACCCTTTTTCTTATAAAGCCCCTAGGGTATGATCAGCAAGCACAAATTCTAATATTAATTTAATCAACACATAACTTTGACATTGTTAAGTATGATTTAGAATGTTGGGTCCTCTGCTTTGCTTATGGCTAAGGTCCCTTTCTAAAGGGAAGGACTTTACCGTCATATTTTTATATAGTTACAAGGAAATCCTACTGTCATAAAATCACCAAATGTACT